ATATATATACACACATATACATATATACTGCATATATAAGCCTCCTGTTATTATCGCCAGCCACTGAACAGTTTTAATGTTTTTGTTTGTGTGCCTGATATCTTCTAAACCTACTGGATAAATTTTAGCGCTGCACACTTAACCAATGTAAATAAATTTAAAAATGTTTGTCTATATATATATGTTTATTAAACCATCATGTGATGCAGTAACTTAACATATTTCACAAATTTCATCTTCATCATCAAACTTTATTTATAAAGTGCTATAACATCAGCCACAGCTGAAACAAAGTGCTGAACACATGAAATAAAAACTCAGTTCAAAAAACACAATAAAACCACACAGTTAAATAAGTGAAATCAMCACCAATACAGTAAAAGTTGAGTAAAATCAAATCTCAGTTGGGTTGAAGGCCAGTGAGAATATAACGAGTTTTCAAGCGAGTTTTAAATGTGGACAGTGAAGGGACCTGTTGAACAAATGAATACAAAGCATTTGAAGCAAACAAAACATAAACATTGTCTTTAGCGAGCTGAAGTGCAATGACATGAGACGTCTTGAACGCAGACCCCGGCATGGTTCTGGTAAAGCCACTGTTTATGTACCTGCAGTATTGGTGAGCCAGATGCTCCCCATCCCTGAATTATTAATTTAAGTCTATTTCTATTCAAAATGGCTGCCTCAGCCAACAGAGCTTGAAACTAGCACACATGGCTGAAGCCTAATTAATTTGACAAATACTAACCTTTAGTGTGGTAGTTTTTGTGTTTAGAGGTGGTTAGAACCCCAAAAAATGTCAAACCAAAGTCAGAAGTCAAACGTTACTCCCTTAGTTTTAAACTAATTTATTTACACAAAGATGAGCAAAAGGCTGACCCTGCAGCACAAGAAATAATTTCAGGAGGAACATGAAGGGATAAAATGCATGCTTACAAGCACAATGCACAGATGCCAAGTGTCTAAAAGATACACTAATGCCTGAGGATGACAAACACCTGGGCAAAAGAAAATAAGGCTCAGGTGAGAGTGGGCGTGGCAGAAACTGAAACCAAACAACTAATTTAGGACAGATGAATGGATCACACATGTAAAAATATAAACAGGTAGCTAACCACAGGAGTCACAGAAATCAAAGTACAAGAAGACTGAAGCAAAACACAAAATCTAAACTGAAGTACAAAACATTGGGAATGATAAAGTTAACACGATAGAGAAAACCAACAGAGCAGACTACATCACAATAAATAATCATAGCCCAGTTTTAATAAAAGCACATTTTTTCTGGGCATCGACTGGAATCCACTTCGTCAAAGAAGTTTAGATTTAGTGRCAGGTGATCTGTGCAGGCTGAGACCAAATGAGAGTTTAAGCGATGAGGAATGCATTCAGGACCAGGGACAGCTCCCAGTCTGCAGCCTCAGCCTCAAACAGACCCAACACTTTGCTCCCGTTCTCTGTGATAAATCATCCCAGCATTCAGTACTGACTACTCAAAAGATGAACCGACATTTTACAAAGAAAACAAAAAAGATTCTGATAAACAATCTGATTTGACAGAAAACAGGAAATGTACGACATCAAGCAGGCGGCTGTGTTGTGGCGAGACAGCAGACACAGTTTAGTCAAGCACAAGGTTATTGCTTTATTATGGGCCTGTTTCTGCTTGTCACATCTGATTGCTTTGATTCTCTGGGAGTGGAGACCATGAAGACGTATGAATATTTCTTCAAAGGTAGATGTTTATCTAAGTTCTGGGTCACATARATTTATTTTTAGCTCTTTATTTTTTATAGCATTCTGATCAGGAGATACAAGCAGTTTACATCTGTTTTATAGCTTCTTTTTCAGATAAATCTCGTGAGTTCACAGATTCAGAACTGCTGCATCAGAGCTTGGATCTGTTTTATTCAAAACAAAAATGAGCTTTTGTATTTATCCAGCTTTATGAAAGTAGGAAAAGTGAAATACACACACTTCTACTTTCTAGCATGTACACACATGGATGAAATTGTTGGTACCCCTCTGTTAATGACCCACAACAATCACTGAAATAGCTTGAAATGGACAAAAGTAATGACAAATAAAAAGAGCTGTCGGAAGAAGTTAGAAAGAAAATTATAGAAAAGCACGATGAAGGTAATGCAGCTAGATCCTCCTGTGACCACAGTTGCACAAATTATTCAGAGGTTTAAGGTCCACAGGACTTGAGACACCCTCCCTGGCCYTGGTCGCAGGTTGTTGGGGGTCCTTCATCTTCCAGAAAGTTATTCTCCATTTTTCTTTATGGCGTTTCTGTAGCAGTTGAAGTTTTTTGGAGGTGAGGTTGCTAGCCCCAGTGTTGTTTTTGACTGCCATTTTAATTTAGTCTTAGTCTTTTGAACAAACATACTTCTTAGTTTTAATCATTTCTATATTTAATGGTTTTAGTCAGTTTTAGTCATTTCTATATTTAATGGTTATAGTCAGTTTTAGTCATTTCTATATTTAATGGTTTTAGTCAGTTTTAGTCATTTCTATATTTAATGGCTTTAGTTGAGTTTTAGTCGACGAAAGCTTAAAAATTTGTTTAGTTTTAGTCTTAAAAAAGACAACATATTAGTCTTTACAAATTAATTTGAGTAATATGTGTTAACATTTGTGTAATTTGTGTTACTCCAAAAATGTCCAAAACAAAAACATTCTCACTGTGTGGCTTTATTTCTCAGAATTTGCTAAAGTGCAATGAACATACACATTACACATGCCCAATATTATAAGCAATAAAGGGGAACACACATGTTCAACTCAAACTTATCAGCCAGGATGATGAAGTTGCATCTTATTTATAAAAACGGAAATCATGCAGTTTTGAACTTAGTTCGTAGACTAAACTTGTGCAAACAAGTGTTTACATGCACCAGGCTTTTATTCAGATCAGAAGCACTGACATGTGCAGTTGCTAACTCCCCCTGGCCACAAAAAAAAACAAACAAACATGAGTTTTACTTTCYTCATGAARGTAAACAAACAGCTTCTGAGCTCAGAATGGACCTGCAACAGCTTTTAATGGTGGAAACGTTACTCCCTGGTTGAGGTGCAGGTGATGGACGGACCTTTTTTGCGAAGCGGGGCAGGCTGTTTGTCTTCCTTCTTTACTGAATGAGAGGAGAAAATGTTCTGTGCTGTTGTGTGTGTGCGTGTGTGTAACAGCGCTGCTGTCCCTCCCTCCACTCTGCATTCTAAATGACTGACAGACCACTGACTAACATTTTCGTTGCAGTCTTGTCAACGAAAACTCACACACGTTTCGTCACGTCTTAGTCATCAAAGAGCTATGTTTATTTCGTTACCGTCTCYTTAWCGTCATGAAAAAAGGGGGCGTCAACGAAAATATTTTGTCATTGTTAACGAAAACACTGGCTAGCCCCACAGCCAACCATCCAACTTTTTTATGCAGGCTTGGGACTGGCAATGGTGGAGCAAGTGCAAAAGACGAGAAGTATYATATGAATGAGAACCAAAGAGCCCAGAACAGCTTCTAAAGAAATTAAAGGTGCAGTCCAAGGTCAAAGCACATCAGTGTCCGATCACATCCATCATTGTATGAAGTGGACTTCATGGGAGACGACCAAGGAGGGCACCAAAGCAGAAAAAAAGCAAGACTGGAATTTTCCACAAAGCTTCTGGGAGAATGTCCTTTGGACAGATGAGACAAAACTCGAGCTTTTTGGCAAGAAGTTACATCAACCCCATGTTCACAGACACAAAAATGAAACACAGAGAAGAACAGTGTCCCTAATAACATGGAGGAGACTCAGTTCTGTTCTGGGGCTTTGCTGCATCTGGCACCMAGTGTTTTGAATCTGTGCAGGGTATGATGAAATCTCAAGACTATCAAGGCATTCTGGAGAGAAATGTGCTGCCTAGTGTTAGAAAGCTTGGTCTCAGGACTTC